AAAGCTCTGACTGGTCTCTACTAGCAAACTTCATCAGGACAGTATGAAACCCTCCTTTTGGGTCCAAGGACAAATACTCATAATGGGGGTAGGCAAATTTAATTATGGGATTCAGTCAACTAATAGAACACTCAATCATAGTAGCTGGATAATAGTTTATGTCCACGCAGATCCAACAAGTTGCTACATGCTAGCTTTGTGGCAGGTGTATGTTTCATTACTACAAACTCAGACTTGTCTGAAGACAGTCATCCCTCCAGCTGCTGACAGAGTCCCTGGGATTAATATCACCACAGAGACACGCCATTACACACAGCGTATGCAAATACACACTCACAGTTCACGTAGAGGCAATTTCCCAACAGCTGTCAGGCCAAATGTGACACAAGCATTTAAAAAACTATTAGCCTTTGGGTGATATGAGATTTTTTTTGTGACATTAACAAAAACAGAGACATTGGTAATCCTATGTATTTCGTCGAACATTTCAAAAGTCCCTTGTATTAATTGGTTACTACAATTAGTGTTTATGGATGGGCTGGTTTCCAGTTTCAACATATCCCACAGTTTTAAAAAGCCAAAGCTTTTCATAATATTGTTCTGTTACTTAAACTCCTGATAATAAGACTAGGCTGGGCTTCTCGATCCTATGGAGCAGCAGTCAGCTGTGTATGATGTCAAAATGTGGGGAAACTCCTCGAAATTTTCCCCTCAATTAAAAGATCAAGCTAATTAACTGTTAACTGAAGACTTACTACCAAGGCTAATATACAGATAAAAAACTAGTTAAAATAAATGCCATAAAACAACTGTTTCAGATGATTAGTTTTCTAGAAACTTTGAGCTAATCTGTGTGGTGATGTTTCAAAAGACAAATGTAAAATCCCTTGTTTTTAACTCAGTGGTCAAACTCTGGGATTTCAATGGAAGAAAAAACATTTGTGGTAAAATTGGCTCTTTGTAAAGCATCAGAGTGACATATTTGAAAACTTTTTTTCCAAATCATACATGTCTTGGATACCAGAAACAGACTTTACACTGTTGTAAAGGTAATACTTACTAATCATTTATTAGTAGTCTTTGGTGAAATGTAGATTTAGTTCAATAATATGCCATAGCATCAGTGTAAAGTGTATTTGTGTCTTGACCACTGTCTGATTATGGATAATCACTCTGTCCAGGCCTGTTGCCATCAGTCATTTTGCCAGAGCTGGCTTCAAAATGCTCTTGCCATCAATCAAATCTTGTTCACACTCATTTGGTGGATAAAACCCAAAAAAATCAGTTTTGTGGATAAGTATGAACGCAAGATTGCACAGACAAGCTTAAAAACAGACAACAGACACAGAAGCAGACATTATGTAAAGGAAACTATGACACGTCAACAATTTCATCCAAAAAAAAGGGATCCACGCAAAAAATGAACTGCCACTTGATGAAAGAAGACAGGGCTGTTTTTTGTGTAGCTGTGCTTTTGCCATTTCTGCTCTAGTGCCCTTTGTCGCTCTTTCAAAGATTCAGTTGTGCTTTGTCCTATTCACCAATGACCAGCACAGTTTCAAGTTGTTGGAGGGTGGAAATTTTACACTTCTGACCACATCTTAAAATCGTCACGCTATAGGGACAAGTACAAAATCCCGAAAAGTGAATACTACATTAATTCAGCATGTGTTGTCTACGTAAAATAGTAACTCGATAAACTGATATGCCAATCTGCAGTTTCAACTTTTTATACTTTACCAAGTTTAATCACTGCATCCATCAAGTATACAAAGAGAAATACATTTTACTGACAAAGGCTTTACTCTGTGCAACATAATGAAAGTTCTCATCAAAACACAGTGATCACATCAACTAAAATTACTGTTTTCAGTAAAGATTCCATTTAAGAACTAGACTGTTTCTATCTGTACTTAACTATAGCTGACTGTGTAATTAAATCATTGCACCTTCTGATGAAATCGAATTGATTTAACAACATAAGTCTGCAGTATTAGATTTTCTCTCTCAGGTAATTTACCTCTTTGTAACAGCTTACTTGTCAGTTTCCCAGGCAAGGAAGACTATTGTTTCGTGTAGACGTATGTTTTTTAAGTCAGTCTAAAACTATATTGGATCAGTAACATTTTAAAGAAGAGTTCAAAATTCAAATCAAGCATTTAGTCCAATCAGAGCAAACAGTCTTACTGTTACGAGACGCAGCAACTCTATAGGTGCACAGTGAGTTAGCTTCATGCATGTTTATACAGATTCCATATTATGACTCTCTCCCTGGCTCTTTCTCCGAGTCAATGTATATATAGTTTTTCAGTCAACATATAACATATAATTTCATTTGTGTGGTGACATTAAATGTTGAATCACTGTAAGAATAGACCAAAATAACAGTAAGGACAAGCATTAAAATACTGAAAAACAGGTTTAAAACGTATATGGCTTTGAGCATTTTAGGGTTTTTATTTAATCCACACTTTATTTTTTTGACTCGACTGATCAAAAAAATGCTGTCAAAATCAAGACTTTCGTAAACAAGTGATGACAAAAAGGTGTGCTCAAGTTACTTCTTGAGAAACTCACTGTTGACAGACAAAGCCAGCCAACCAGAATTTAGACTCTCCTTTTTTATGTCTAATCCATTTTGAAAACAAGTAAAGAAGCCAAAGCAGAGTGCTTCACACTCATCACCTACTGCTAAAACAAACTGTGCAGAAAAGACAAAAGCAAAAGGACAGAAAACAGTAAAGAAAAATGCTTTAAATACTGTATGTTAAGTTGATAGGGTAATAACTAAGGTCACACAGAAAGTGATGAGATGCCAGAGCACAATTCAGTGAACTTAGAAAAGTCAACATACCAGAGTTTGATCCTTGTAGATGGAGAAACTCAACCTCTTTTAACTGAGCACAATGAAACAGGTGGTTTCAGTAAACCCTGCTGCACTCACACCCTTTGTAGCACTTAAATCAGCCAAGTAATGAAAGAACTAACAATTTAAGAAATCATTTTTTAAGTATTTAAGAACAAAAATACTTTTAATACAAAATAAAAATAAACTTAGGGAAACCGACTCATGTCATGGTTGTAATTGAGCTTAACTGAAAATGGACTGTTTCCTAAATTTATGTGTATACGTGTCTCAAATATAAATACTATTACAACGATTTGTTTGAACTATATGCTCTAAATCAGACTACCTAAATAAAATGGCTAATAAAGAAGCTTTGAACTCAGCAGATGCACAATTCCTCCTATCAGATATCAAAGTCTGTCAGATCTATAGATCAGATAAATTTTCCCTGCCAATAACTTCAAAGATGTACGAAAATTCACAAAGTCTGCCAACAGATCTTTGCTTATGATTAAGAGCCATATTTAAATGTAATATGTTCAATGTCAAACCTCTTGTTACCTTTGAAGTTATATTTGTTACTGTGAATGAACAGTGGTTTCATTTTCTGTACTGATTTGCAAGCAGTGGATTTCTATGTTATTACAACAGTAAAGTAACTTAGCCTACCTTTTAGGCCATGTCCAGAACATCTCAAAACTTCTTGAGAGCCACCATATTGGATCAACGACAAGTTTTTCCAAAGTTAGGTCATCTCACATTATTTGCTGTGGTGTTCAGACATAATTTTCCCCTTTCTTTCTGAAATAAAAGAGTGTCCTGCGACTTCTGACTCACCCTAATTGTAAAGGTAATAGAAATATCCTAGCACTTCAGCTTCTTCTTCTCAGAAACTTTCCACCATTCACAATGCAAAAGTTTTTAAACGCACTAAATACAACAACTAAAATAATACTGCAAGTAAATCTACAAAAACACAACTTTACACGTCATTTTTTTAAATAACATACTGTGGTCATTAGCAGCATAGAGTGCACCCAGTTTAGACCGTCTGACCTCTCAAATCGTAATACAATAATAATAATGAAACATCAACAGCAAGACATCAATTAGGGAGACAAAGTCTGAATGAAATTCAATATTTCGATGGCACAAGAAAAACAGTTCTAGCTACAGGGGGGTTTAAAATTTTAAACCTGAAGACTAAATGAAGATGAACACATGGAAGGTTTTCTGTTGATGTATTAAAACAATATGATAAACAATATGATAAAGTATTTGGCTTGTAAAACACCTATAACATAAGTTAAAACGGTTTTAAGTGAATCGACAGGAAGTGTAAAGTAGAAACTTAAAAAAGGATTGAAAACTAAATTAAAACCCTGTAATTTCAAAACAATAGTCATGTAGAGACAAAGTTTAATAAGAGTCTCATAACAAAACTTTTTTTTGTTTTTCTGTTCTTGCTAAATAAAGCCCGGGCAACAAAACTTGAAATAATGAGTGTTTTGCACCATTGCCAACCAAAAACAAAATGTAGCGAGAACAGGGAGAGAAAGTGATAAAAGAATAGAAGAAAAGTGACGCAAAGCTTTGCAGCTAACTGAATCTGACACTCTTACAGAAAACTGATATGCTCAGAGAGCGAGGGAGAGAATGATGACTCCCTGAACTCCCCCCACCTCCCTTTAGCTCCATTCTCTCCCCTCTCATTCTCACTCCTATGAGTGGGGTGATGAATGTGTGTGTCGGTTTCAGGGCCTATTAATAGGACAGTGCATGGCTGGAAGAGTCCAAGCTAAGGAGAGATGAGATCTCTCACACTCCCCCTTTCTTAGCCTTACACACACACAGAGTTTAAGCAGACTGCTGGAGGGCCCAGATGTAGCAGAGGTGGGGTACAGATGGGGGCGGGCCAAGAAAAGGGGAGAAAAGAGGGTAAAGGTCAAAAACAAAGCTAACAAAGAGCTTCAAACAGCACTCTGATATATTTATTACCCATAAATCACAGCCAGCAACCTACAGAGCTTAACAAAGAGAGGTGAAATGATGAATCCTATCAGATTTGCAAAGACACACACAAAAACACAACCGTCAAACATAGACATAACAACTGAACGCCAACTTTACTACTACAGATGACTAGACCTACCTCTGGAGTTGGTAGCCAGATCAGCAACTTTCTGAAAAGAATCCAGGAAGGCAGCCACGGCACCTGCTGTCGCCCTGGGACAAATGATAAAAACAGAGTTTTATTGAACAAAACAAAAAAAAAGGTTGAGTTCAGAAAAAATAAATTATTTTATCAAAAAGAAGAAAATCCCAATGTTGATGTTGTCAACCAATAACAACATAATAACATGAACTAATAAGTTCAATACTTCTAGATTCGATTTCTGGATTAGTTTTAAAAAATATAACTTATCTTAAAAATGAAACCACACGTTTGTATGCAATCACTCTACCGTCAAGACATCCTCAACACTAACATTCACAGTGAAGGGATACGTAGTCTGTCTCCTGTCATGTTTGTGTTACAACCTGAATGTGCCCTGCTGTGGGAGGAATGCCTATGTAATTACACTGAGTTTGTCTCACTTCCAGGTCAATGGAAGGATCAATGTGGAATGAACCCTGTTGAGTTTTGCAATGAGTTTGAGTGTCAACCTCACCTTTTTCTTCATCGTATTTCATTTAGTACATTATTAAATGTGTAAATAAATACAGTGGCTCAAGAAAGGACTGTTCCATAAATGAATCGATTGGAGACACCGTCTTGTTAGTATCCTGACAGCTTATATGACTACTTGATGGGGTAGTCATTATGTTTGGCAAATGATTCCTGACTGTGTAGCCAAGACAACTGGTTAACAATGTTCAACTGCAAAAACAACAGCCCCTCGCGTGATTAAGGACCCAGGTATGAAGATTAAGGGAGCATGAAGGTTGCACGTGTATGTTCTGTGATATCTGATCTCCTCAACAAGGAGGCTACTCGTCAGTCATGCATACCACACAAAGGGGAAAAAAACTATTGTCAAGACTTTTTCCTAACTCGTGTTCACTCTCAAAAGCTTATTTGTTCGGAAATTGAGTTGGACAACCCAGAATTAAATCTTGTTATTTCATTGGGTAAACAGAAACCCTTCATAACACAACTTGGGAATTTCCATTAACCTCACACAGGCAGAGTAAAAAAAAATAAGGGGCTATGTTTGAACCATAGATGAGACTAAAGTGTTAACATAGTGCCTAATTTTGGATAAATGAAAGGGGATTTTTTTTTTTAGATCAGCACTATACAAGTCAGTTTATATGGAAGTAATTAGTTACAGTATTAGCTTAAGTGTGCTCATGAATTACATAGATTATTTTTTATTAAACTTTAAAGCCATTTTTAATATATAATGAAAACAAGAGTGTAAAAATTTTCCTGTTTCAACAACGTTATAGTTAGAACCTTCCATAAAGCAGCCCTTTTACAATCTTGGATTGGAATAAAGTAAAAATAGACCAACTGTTAAAACAACCCCGGTCCTGAGGTCACCCATAACCCTTAGTATTCTTCAACTTTGGTTGGAACAATCTGTTTCTTCATCACTCAGAAACCTAATGCAAGTATTGGTTAACAAGTGCTGTGTTGTTGCAGGGCTGACCAGAAGATCCATGGGTGTGTTCTGCAAATGGAAAAAGAAACATACAGCAGAAGCACACACACAGATGCCTTTCTATTTAAAGCCCAGCACAGGCACCAAAACAACCTCTAACTTATATCTCCCTTCACTAATGTACTACATGCATTCATTTGTCTATTTTTGTTACAAATACTTGCAGCTAAATCATGTTCACTCGTGTTCTTTAAAACAAAGTGGGTTTGTGTGATAAGTGGTTTGAAAACTGCTTTTATTATTATCAATGTCAAATTCTGATGTATGAGTGTACTCAGTGAATAGTTGGGACCGTCTACAGCTTTTAATTTGTTCTGTATAAATAAAGAAGATATTAAACGCATTAATCTATTCAAGCCATTTATTTCTTTTGAGCTTTTAAATTTGACTGGAACTAGTATATTAGGTTAGGTTTTTTTTTTCATTATATACATTAAAAATTAAGCAATAGAGGCAGGAAAACTAGGTTCTAGTTACAACCCTGACAGCTGGCCAAAAGTCCTTAAACTTTTGTGGCTTTAAGAAGACTATATAAAAATGTTTTATTATACTGTAAGATTTCAGCTGTGTGCAGTCCTCCAAAAATGACCTGAATGTTAGTAACGGTCTTAAAACCTGCACACGTCCCAGCACCAAAGTGGAAACAAATGACTTTAACATATGCATTCCACAAGGCCTTGGCAGGACCATCTAAACTCCCTATGGCGCTTGCCATGGTAGAGCAGAGGGCTCTTTACGACAATGATACATTCAGCTCTGCTGCTCTCATCTATTCTTAGTCCAGCAGAAACTGGAATGTGACTGTAGCTCATGTGAATCATAGAAAGAGGTCGTGTTAACTGGACTTGTTTCAGGAACATACAGCAGTGCAATAGAATCACAACAGTGTTGGAAATGAGTGTGCATCCAGAGAGGTTTTGGAATCAAGCAGTTCTGGACTTCAGTGTATCCTCCTGTGTCAAACTTCATATCATCTAATGATTCAGCCATTGATCAACTTTGGCTGCTTCTTCCTTTCCAGGTCATGGTGGTTGCTGGTGCCCATGTCCAGGAGTCACTGTACGAGAGGCAACCTGCACAGTTCACAAGTAGTGCTGGGTGATATGACCAAAACTTATGATGTTTCAACAATGATTTTCATCACACGGCAGACTGATGTTAAAATATACAAACACTGCTCACTAATCAGCAAACTGCTGTCAGCTGAAGTAACTCTCTCTCCGCAACAAAAAACTATTTCTTGACTTTTTTATTTTACTGTACCTCTGTTTGTGTCGGGTTTTCCCTCTTCTGAGTTTTCTTCCTTCCCTGGTTGTAGACATTAGTCGTGCATTCTGGGCTTAGGTCACATTAGCAGTGAGGGAAGGCAGGTACAGTTGTGAAGGAGGGTTGAGCACTGATCAATATCAAGCAAATTTACTTCACGCATTGAGTCTGTATTTGAACGTCAGTGAAGAGGTGTATTCTACATTCAGCAATGGCAAAAATTGGAGGCTTTTTGTTTTTTTGTCAGCCTATATAAGTGATGAAATCGCCATCTGCCACCAATTATTGAGAAGGACGCTCACAAACCTAAATAACTAACCTACTCCAAGCTACCAGTATATATGATTTAAAAGTATGGCTTTCTATCTTCAAATGTGTATGTTCTCTCTTTAAAATGAGCAAAACAAGGGAAAAAAAACAACAATTTTAAAGGGAGAAAAAGAACACAGAACTGTCCCAACATTGTAATTAGTTAATATCCTGGCTGTTTTGTAGAGGGGAAGCAAAGGAGCTATATTACAGGGTAGACTGCCTTTGGCTGCATTACACACAGGACCATATGCTGCTTCCAGTACTTACTGGTAACATATCCAGACCAAGAGGAGAGGGTGGGTGTGTTTGTGTGTTACTGTATATCCATTTATATGTGTGTGTGCTCCTTTAAATAGTCCAGCCCCCAAACAAATTACAGAGGTCTGTGGCTTGGGAGGTTGTACTACAGTTAAGTTTAAGGGGTCATTTTGGCATCTGTAATGACTGGAAGCAGGCTTTAGAGCAGATTTTTAAAGAAGTCCTAACATGTACATCACTATGAACAAGACTAGATAGTAACCACTCAAAAGCTCTCCACCAGCTGGACCAGTTTATCAAGCAGCCATATGTCACAACCACTGGATATGAGTGACATTAAACATGGAGGGAGAAGTAATCTTTACTGACATCACTTTCTATGTTTACATACGCAAAATTTTTTGATCGGATTGAAATGTATTCGGATGAAATAATCCTAATGTACCGTTTACATGGGCACAATCTGACCATGACAAGTGTTTACATGCACCAGGTATTTATTCAGAATAGAAGCACTGACATTAGCAGGGTTGTTAACTTTCCCTAAAAAACACAGAAGTTTTACTTTCATGATGAACATAAACAGTCTTCTGAGTGCTCAGAATGGACCCGCGCCACTTTTTAATAATGGTGGAGATGTTTCTGCGCTCCCTGGTTGAAGTACAGGTGATCTGCAGTTTTTTTTTTGTTTTTTTTTTTTTGGGGGGGGGGGGGGGGGGGAATGCAGGCTGCTTGTCTTCCTTCTTTATTGATTTGATTGAGAAAACAGGCGAAAAAGTTCTGTGCTGCTGGAAACTACAGCGCTGCTGTCCCTCCCTCCACAAAAGAGCAGAAACCAGTGGGTGAAAGTCAGAAGACATGCGCAGTCAGATCAGTTTTCCACAATCAGAATAAGATGATCAGATAAAGTGTTTACATGCAAGCTGTTCGGATTATCAATCGGCATAAACCACCCCTCTCATTCCGAGTGCATATTCATTCGGATCGAGCTGAACTGGATCAGAATAATCCGAATGGGGTGTTTACATGACACATTTTATTCCGAATGGCCGTTTGATCTGATTACTTATGTCCATGTAAACGTAGCTACTGTCTGATTTAGAGTGTATTCACACATGACACATTTGGTCCGCTTTAATGGACCAGAGTTCGTTTTCCCCATTGGTGCAGGTGTGAATACACTCACGCTAACCCTGGTGCAGACCAAACAACCGGACCTAGCGCCACTTTTTGAGGTGGTTTCGGTCTGCTTCCAAACAAACTCTGTTACAGTTCGATTCTGGTGTCAAAACAGCCCGGCCTCAACCTGAACAAACTACATGAAACATACTTTTCGACTTCACAAGTCACCACTGCTAAGCATAATGGTAAAAATAAGCCTTTCAGTGTTGGTAATGCTACCACTACTTGGACGCTACAAACAATGAGCCGTGAACAGACCTGGAGCAACCAGGAGACACTGTACCTCCTCGATATTTGGATAGATGAACACATAACTCATCTGCTAGAGAAGACACACAAAAATGTGGTTGTGTTCTCCATGCTTAGTGAGAAACTAGAGCTTGGTTTCAATTGTCTCCAGAACAATGCTGGCTTAAAGTGAAAAACTCCAATTAGACTTGCGTCTTTCTTTCTGGGTCTGTGCTCTGCCCCGCCCCCATAATTTCTATCCAATGGGAATGATTGTCACCAGCATTACTGTGTTTACAAATTACAGTCTGT